CCTCACACTTCTTGTTGGGCAAGGGTCATGACCCTTAACTCTGGACTTGCCACCTTTCTGCTCACCGGTCAGTTCAGGGCAGCGGTCCGCCCTTACCTCTGGCGCGGCCACCTCTGGCCCACCTGTTGGCAGTTTGCCCCCAGCCCGTCCCCACCCGCTGCCAGGGGCAGCTTACTTTGATGAGCCTCAGGATGTCGGGGCAGTCCTGGGCCTGGGCTGGTCGAACCCGAAATGTGTTCATGATCTGAGTCTCGAGTGAAGCTTCTGCCGCCTTCTCTTCCTCTCCGCCTGCCTGGACCACGACTTTACTGGGGTTGGTCTTCTCTGCGATAATGGTAGAGGCCAGGGCCCATCCCCCCGCCTAGGATGAGCAGGAATGGAAGGGTTTGAGATAACTAGGAAGAGGAGTGGGAGGAGGAGGGGAGATGGGGAAGCCAGGGCAACGGAGGGAGGGAGGAAAGGAGGGAGAGGAGGGCTGCCTGAGCCGGGAGGTGAGAGGGGCGGACTGAGCCGGGGAGGATGGAACACTTGAGTAGCCCAGCCCCGAGGTGGCCCCGCCCCCTGTACGTAGCCTGCAGTCACAAAGGCCGTCGCTAGGAGACGCTCTTTGCACACACTGACACGGGGAGAGTCTGGTCAGAAGGGTTTGGTGACAGGAGGGAGGAGGGAGGCGGGCGGCTTGCTCAGGCTCAGGGCGCTCGCAAAGAGCGATTTTCGAGGTAATTTTCAGGGGCCCCACTCAGGAACCTGACAAACAGCCCCTCAATAGGCCACATGCAGTGTCCGTGTCCCTTCGGCCTCGTCCTTAGAACTCTTTTCCCCTCTAGTTTTCCGTAGTCCCCATGTTCGTAAAATGGCCTAGGTTGACCTTCAGGGCCTTTCAAGTTCTACTAGTCAGGCAGTCTGTGGTTCAGAGGCCCTGGGTCCAAATCCCAGCTCAGCGCCTTACTTTTTCTTGGGTAACCGTCCTTTTTTAGGGCCTCTGTTCTCTCCTCTACACAATGAGAGGGGCGGCCTAGATCCTCTAAAGACACCTTTTAGTGCCGCTGTAGTTCAGAGGACCTGGGTTCAAATCCTAGTTCTGCCACTTATTTTAGGTAAGTCCCCTAACCTCCTTGGGCCTCAGTTTCCTTATTTGTAAAATGAGGAGAATGGCTTTCATGACCTCTGAAGTCCATTCTGGCTTGTAATATGTTCACAGTTTTATAATGCAGAACACCTGGGTTAAGATTTCAGCTCAGCTACTTGCTGGATGACCTCGGTTAAGTCTCCTAACCTCCCTGGGCCTCAGTTTCCTCATCTGTGAAATGAGGCGGTTGACCTAGATGATCTTATTTAAGTCCTTTTTAGCTTTAATTGTCTGCAGTTCTGGAGTGCAGAGGACCTGAGCCCAGCCACTTACTGTGTGACCTTGGGTAGGTCACCTTCACCTCTCAGGGCCTCATTCCCCTCTTCTGCACAATGAAAGGGAAGACTCAGATGACCTCTAAGGGCCTTCCCAATTCTGCTAGTCTATAGTTTGGTGGTACCAAGGACTTGGGTTCAAATCCCAGTTCTTCCATGAGTGACCTTAGGTAAGCAAGTCCTCTAGCCTGCCTGGGCCTCAGTTTCCTCATCTGTAAAATGAGGAGGTTGGCCTGGAGGACATTTAAGGTCCCTTCTAGTTTTAGTAGTCTGTAGTTCTGTAGTACAGAGGACCTGGGTCCAAATCCCAGCTCAGCCACTTACTGTGTGACCTTGGGTGAGTCACCTCTCTGGACTCTGTAAGTCTTCTGTGTACGATTGGGGCGGGGAAAGAGGGTGTAGATGACCTCTTAAGGGCCCTTCCAGCTCTATTACTTTATGATTCTGTTCTGCAGATAACCTGGGTTTCAAATTCCAGTGATTGCTACTCTCTCCTGGGTAAATCACATAACTTCTCTGGTTCTCACTTACCTCTACCTCATCTGTAAATTAAGGCATTAGCCTAGATGCCTTGTACATCCTACTTGTATGTGATTCTGAGGTACAGAGGACCTGACTTCAGATCTCAGTTCTACCAATTACTGCCTTGTGTGACCTTGAATAAATCACCTAACCTCTGAACCTCAGTCTATCTAACCCCTCTGTAAAATGGGAGGTTGGGGAGGGGGGGAGGTGTGACCCAGATGACTTCCAAGGAAGCTTCTAGCTCTATTAATTTATGATTTTGTAGTATAGAGAATCTGGATTAAATCTTAGCTCAGCCATTCTCTACTTGACCTTGGATAAATCATATAACCTCTCAGAGAAGGACTTCAGTTTCCTCTTCTGTAAAGTGATCAGGTTGGCCTACATGATCTCTATATCCAGTTCTTTCATTCTGTGATTCTGTGAAAAATTATTTGTGCTGTTGTCCAAGGTGTTGTATGACAATATTAAGACAATTAATTAAAGAAAGAATTAATTACAGAAATTAATTAAAGAAATTTAGAAATAAAGAAATTAAAGAACATTAATTAAAAAAATTAAGACAATATTGTTGTATGACAATATTAAAACAAAAAAGTCACGCAGCCTTGTCACCTTGTAATTTCCAGTGGGGTTGCAGATGAAAGGCTGAAACAGGCATGCAGCTCCTTTTTCACAATCCTCTCAGGATAGATAGTACATTGGTGGAGAGTATCTTTGGGTGGTTTGGTTTCTAGCAGAAGCCTCATAAATGTGGCCTTTAAAAATAGTTGGTGGGGGGCAGCTAGGTGGCGCAGTGGATAGAGCACCAGCCCTGAAGTCAGGAGGACCCAAGTTCAAATCCAGCCTCAGACCAAACACTTGACACTTACTAGCTGTGTGACCCTGCACAAGTCACTTAACCCCAATGGCCTAAAAAAAAAAAAAAAATAGTTGGTGGACTTCAAGAAGGCTCGTAAGCCTCAGCACTTGGGAGCTTTGGGGAATGCATCAGTCTCATTTAGAGCTCAATTTGGACCAGTTTTAAATTTCTCACAGGACTGTTATCAGAATCAAACCAGAGACAGTCTCTATGGTACTAACTTGCAGGCCTTAAAATGATGCTATATTATTTATTCTAATCACCTATTTTATGGTATAGAATCTATAGAGTTGGGCAACCACATGTGGCCTTCTAGGTCCTTGGGTGTGGCCTTTTGACTGAGTCCAAGTTATACAGAACAAATCCTTTTATGAAGAGAATTTGTCCTGTCAAGTTTGGATTCAGTCAAAGGGCCACACTTGAGGACCTAGAGGGCCACATGTGGCCTCAAGGCCTCAGGTTCCCCGCCCCTGGTATAGGTTATATATTATTAAATATGTGATATACTAAACATTTATTCTAAATACCTATTTTTCAAAGGGGAATGCCACTGTCAATGTGAATTTACATATACTCAGAGCTACACATTCATTCTTACAACTGCTTATTCAGGCAACTGGACCCACTTTAGAATCTCTCTGAAGGCAGAAGGAGCATCTTCTCAGTGTTGTATGCATGGAGCTGTTCAGTAATTGAATTCAGTAATATACTGTTCAGTTCTTGTTAAACAATGTTAAATGCAGTTTAAATTAAAACAAAACAAAACAAAACAAAACAAAACAATCCGATACCATTCTTGGCCACGAGGTGGTGGCATTATTATTTGTTAGCCGCTCAAATCCCTACCCATACAAAACCAAATCGTTGAGTCAGTTACAAAGTGACTTTCATGCACTCTCTTCTTAGTTCTCTGGACCCTGAACTCTGGTAATGCTATAATGATGTCACAGAAGCAGTAATCAGTGACTAATTTGGCTTCAGAACACTTGGGGGCTTGAAATATGGTTAAGAACTAGTCTAGTTACTGAGCGTAAACCAAGGGCACACACAGTCTACTAAATCTAGCTTCCATTTCAGCAATTTCAAAGGAAATATTTCATTTCTTTTCATACCTAACAGTCTTTTCTCCACAGTGCTATCTAGGTACAGGAAGAGTATTCATAAAACTGTCACTGCATTTTTCTTGTTAAATATATTACCGTCTCAGACCTCATACCTGCAAAGCGGGGGGGTATGAAACACCCTTTCAATAAAGGGAGAGGTGGTATCAGGGAAATGTTGTAGGAAATAGAAGGAAATAAGTATCTGTTTTCGTATTGCCACCCCGAATGGTCACATCTCCTAAATATTTGTATTTCTGATTTTTGACACTGAATTTTGTTTTTAATATTCTAGATGGAGAAGTATCACGTTGAAATTTTCTCATAGTAGAACCCAGTGTGGCAGAAGCTTGTATGAGAGAATGTTTGGTTTGATTTTTAAATCTTTTTCCTTCTCAGTGTCATTTTCTACAGTATTTAACTTAACTAAAGATAGTATTTTTGTCTCCAATAGATAGTTACTGAATATAAACCAAGAATACATTCTACTAAGTTGAGTTTTGTTTTCAAATTTTGGTTATTCCTCTCCTTGCAGCTCTACCAGAGATTTAGCCATCACCAGGTAGGTAAGGATTGTTTGGGGCTGTTTGTTAAGGGCCTGAAGCGGTGACCTAGGCCCAAACAGATGAAATCACAGCTCCTTGTGGTGCAGAGACACGGCTCCGAAATTGCTGATTAGAATAAATAATACAGCATCATTTTAAGGCCTGCAAGTTAGTACCATAGAGACTGTCTCTGATTTGATTCTGATAACTGTCCTGTGAGAAATTTAAAACTGGTCCAAATTGAGCTCTAAATGAGCTGACTACTGGGCAGAATCCGGTATCTTGAATTGTAATTCAAATTTGCTTTGGTTAAGAGAATACCATCATCATGAAACCCAAAAAACTCTCAATCCCAATTTTAAATCAAGCACATTTTTTGTAAACGAAAATGATCAAAAAAGTGAGCCAGGGTAGTAGGTATGACCAAGATCTGTGGGATGACCTTCCATATTTACACTGTATGTATCTTGTATGTACTTTAGTTGTTTTCTATGCTGTTTCTCCCATTAGACTCTGAGCTGCTGAAGGACAAGGACCTTGTTTTTGCCTTTCTTTGCATCCTAAGCTTAGCCTAGTGTCCACCACATAGTAAATATTTCATAAATACTTGCTAACTGATTGACAACCCAACACTATTCGAAGAAACCCAGCTTCTAAGTGAGTTACATTTGATGCTTGGGAAAAGATTCTCTCTCTAGACACATTTCTGCAAATACCTAGTGAGGACTGTAGGCTAAACTTTTCCTTCCATGTTAAAAATGTCAATTGCAACCTAATGCCACACTTATTCTTAAGGAGGATCCAAGGAAATGGACAGGGAACTATTCTCAAAAGGGTCTTGGAGACCATTGATAATGATTTGGCTGATTTTAAGGTTTTGGTCATTTTACTCTCATTTTAATGATAGAAATAAGTCTTTCAGATTAAACTTTGCCTCTTCAAAACAATGAAATGAATGGCCTTAAGTCTTTCTCTGCTTCCTCAGTAGAAAAGTGGCTAGAGAGTAGACCTGCGATTGCATTGATCAAGGGAACCCCTAGGTGAGGACACTCCCTCTACCAATGTATCTCGGTACCTTCTCTGCAATTTCTAGTCTTAAAGAGCTTTGAGAAGGTAAGTGAACTTGCCCAGGGTCACACAGTCAGTATGTGTCAGAGGCAAAAGTTGAAGTCTTTCTGGCTCCAAGGCTTTATCCACTCCCCCCTGCTGCCTTTTAGAGCAAAGCTTCTTAAACTTTGTCCACTCATGAGGTCTTCAGCGCTTCTTCAACTGTGGGTTGCGAC